CACTCCTCTCCTCCCTCTCGTCCATTCCACCATTGAGCATTATGATTATTACCCTCTTCTTTCCCCTGACTCTGTCCAGGTCCCTCTCCGCGCGCTGTTTTTGCCCACAGGATTTGAAACATGGATGTTTCTGCTGGTTTTTACACTCCGATTGTTTTCGGTGTTTCAAAATGGTGTTCCAGCTTCAGCATGGGCCTCACTTTCGAATCGGCGCTTTGCTCCTGTCGTTCAGAAAAGTCGTTCTCGCACCAGCGCAGGCCACGTTTCTGGATCCGAGTCGTTCTTCCTTGTTGTCGCCCCGCTCATTTCCCCTGCCTTCCCCTGCTCCTCCTGTTCCTCCCGCTCGCTCCACTCCAATTCCTGCTGCCGCTGCTGTTCCTTTTTCTCCCGCTCATCCTCCTGCTCACCCACCACCACCTCCTGCTGCTCCTGCTCCTGCTCCTGCTCCTGCTCCTGCTCCTGCTCCTCCTCCTCCTCCTCCTCCTCCTCCTGTGCACGCAATTCCCATGTTCCCGATTGCGCGTGACACGATGTGGTCGTTTGGTTGGAGCTGCAGGTCGGCTATGACACGCGTCCGCGGGAAGAGGAAACAGACGCGCAATTGGAAGGGATGGGAGGGAGGGTGGATGTCAGATGAGGCGCGAGCGCACATCGCTTGCCCCCGTCCCTCGCCCTCTCCCTCTCCCTCCCCCTCCTCATCCCCTCTCCCCCCCTACCCCCCCCCCACGCTCCCCCCCACCCCACCACACACACACACACACACACACACACACACACACACACACACACACACACACACACACCACACACACACACACACACACACACACACACACACACACACACACACACACACACACACACACACACACACACACACACACACACACACACACACACACACACACACACATCCCTCTCTCTCTCTCTCTCTTTCTCTCTCTCTCTCTCTCTCTCCCTTCCCCCCCTCCTCTCCCTTCCCCCATTCCTCTCCTCCTCCTCTCCCCCTCTCTCCTCCTTTTTGTCCTTTCCCATCATACAGGCAAGCAGTATGAGTCCGCCACCGTGCCTCGAGGCACGAAGTGGAGTTACCCCCAGAGTCTCACGTGTCCCCTGTTCTGTGCTCTGGACTGGGGGATTCTAGTATCCCAGGGGCCGCGGCCCCAGATCCTCAAATATCCTGGGCGCTCCCGCGCGCTCCTGCGCTGCGTCGCGCGACTGTTCCAAAGGCCAGGGGGCCCCAAGGCGGGCCCAGAGGGGCCCAAGAAGCGCCCAAGAGACCTCCAAGACAGCCCAAGAGCGCTCCAGGACGCCCAAGATGGCCCCAGTACGTCCCAAGGGGCCTCAAAGAAGCACCAAGAGCGCTCCACGAGGAAGAGGGACCCCGAAGAGGGGCCAAAGAAGCACCACGAGCCTCATCTGCGCTTTTGTCACGTTCTCTCGTTCTCGGGCTGCCGGCGCTCCAAGATGGCTCCAGAGGCTCCAAGACCGCCCCAAGACGACCCAAGAGGCACACAAGAGAGCCCAAAAACGGTCCTAGGGGGCCCCAAGACCGTCCAAGATGGCGTCTAAGATCGCCCAAGAGGGTCCCAAGACGGCCCCAAGAGGAGCCCAAGAGGTTGAACACGAACCGACAATTCCACCCTTCCGCCCCGAAAGGCACCCAGGATGCCCCAAGAGGCCCCCAAGAGAGCTCAAGTGGCCCCCGGCCCCAGGAGGCCCCCAAGAGGCCCAATAGGAGTCCCCAAGATGACCCCCAAGATGCCTCCAGGAGGCTCCCAGGAATCTCCCAGGAGGCCCCAAGAGTGTCCCCAGAGGCTCCCAAAATGTTCCTCCTCCTCCTCCTCCACCTCCTCCTCCTTCTCCTCCTCCTCCGCCTCCTCCTGATCTTCCCCGCCATCCTGCCCCAAGTGTTCCCCGAAGGGTTTCCACACCGGCTGGGGGAACACATGGTCCGATAGCTTGGCAGAGCTATTGCCACAACGCTCGGCCACATGGGCGATTCTAGAAGGGAGGGGGCGGCGGTGATTCGCCGTAAGCGTCTTCGATGTTACTTCCCCTCCTCCCCCGAATTGAAGTTATCCGGAAGATCTCCCGCCCACTCCGCGTATTGCTTGATGCCAAAACACTATGTTTTTCATGTTGTTGACACTCCGATCGTTTTCGGTATGCTGCGGCGTGGGCCTCATTTTCGGATCGGCGCTCTGCTCTCGTCGTTCAGAACGGCGCTGTCGCCTCAGCGCTGGCCACTGGATCTGAGTCTTACTTCATTGTGGTCCCCCATTTCACTTTCCCTCCTCCGCCTTCCCGTGGTCCTCCTGTTCCTCCAGCTCCTTCCAACCCAGTTCCTACTGCTGCTGTTCGTCTCGCCCGACCGCGGGCCACTTTTCTGAACCCGAGTCGTTTTTTCCTCACATCCTGAGTGGGGTTCTTGTTTTCCCAGAACATCCTCTCCTCCTCCTCCTCCTCCTCCTCCTCCTCCTCCTCCCGCTTCCTCCACCATCCCATACTGTACCATACCATACCAATACCATGCCACTCCATACCATACCTTACCATACCATACCATGCATCCACCATCCCATACCATACCATGCCTTTCCTCACACCATGTTATTTATCAGGTTTCGTGCCCCTCCCACCCCTCCAGGGAGGCCCCGCCTGAGCGAGCAGGGTATTCGCACACATGTTATTTATCAGGTTTCGTGCCCCTCCCACCCCTCCAGGGAGGCCCCGCCTGAGCGAGCAGGGTATTCGCACACCATGTTATTTATCAGGTTTCGTGCCCCTCCCACCCTCCAGGGAGGCCCCGCCTGAGCGAGCAGGGTATTCGCACACCATGTTATTTATCAGGTTTCGTGCCCCTCCCACCCCTCCAGGGAGGCCCCCCTGCCCCGGTTCCCCCTCCCCCCCTGAGCGCCTGAGCGCGGGTATTCGCCAACCATGTTATTTGTCAGGCTTCGTGCCCCTCCCACCCTCCAGGAGACCCCGCCTGAGCGAGCAGGGTATTCGCACACCATGTTATTTATCAGGTTTCGTGCCCCTCCCACCCCTCCAGAGGGGCCCCGCCTGAGCGAGCAGGGTATTCGCACACCATGTTATGTTTCAGGTTTCGTGCCCCTCCCACCCCTCCAGGGGGGGCCCGCCTGAGCGAGCAGGGTATTCGCACACCATGTTATTTATCTGGTTTCGTGCCCCTCCCACCTTTCCAGGGAGGCCCCGCCTGAGCGAGCAGGGTATTCGCACACCATGTTATTTATCAGGTTTCGTGCCCCTCCCACCCCTCCAGGGAGGCCCCGCCTGAGCGAGCAGGGTATTCGCACACCATGATATTTATCAGGTTTCCTGCCCCACCCATCCCTCCAGGGAGGCCCCGCCTGAGCGAGCAGGGTATTCGCACACCATGCTATTTATCAGGTTTCGTGCCCCTCCCACCCCTCCAGGGAGGCCCCACCAGAGCGGGAAGGGTGTTCGCACACCATGTTATTTATCAGGTATCCTGCCCATCCCACCCCTCCAGGGAGGCCCCGCCTGAGCGAGCAGGGTATTCGCACACCATGTTATTTATAAGTTTTCGTGCCTCTCCCACCCCTCCAGGGAGGCCCAGCCTGAGCAAGCAAGGTATTCGCACACCATGTTATTTATCAGGTTTCGTGCCCCTCCCACCCCTCCAGGGAGGCCCCGCCTGAGCGAGCAGGGTATTCGCACACCATGTTATTTATCAGGTTTCGTGCCCCTCCCACCCCTCCAGGGAGGCCCCACCAGAGCGGGCACGGCTATTCGCACACCATATTATTTATCAGGTTTCGTGCCCCTCCACCCCTCCAGGGAGGCCCCACCAGAGCGGGCAGGGTATCCGCACACCATGTTATTTATCAGGTTTCGCGCCCCTCCCAACATTCCAGGGAGGCCCCGCCAGAGCGGGCAGGGTATTCGCACACCATATGATTCATCAGGTTTCATGCCCCTCCCACCCCTCCAGGGAGGCCCCACCAGAGCGGGCAGGGCATTCGCACACCATAATATTTTTCAGGTTTCGTGCCCCTCCCGCCACTCCAGGGAGGCCCCGCCTGAGCGAGCAGGGTATTCGCACGCCATATTTTATTATTAGGTTTCGTGCCGTTCCCGCCCCTCCAGGGAGGCCCCACCAGAGCGGGCAGGGTATTCGCACACCATGTTATTTATCAGGTGTCGTGCCCCTCCCACCCCTCCAGGGAGGCCCCACCAGAGCGGGCAGGGTATCCGTACACCATATAATTTATCAGGTTCCGTGCCCCTCCCACCCCTCCAGGGAGGCCCCACCAGAGCGGGCAGGGTATTCGCACACAATATTATTCATCAGGTTTCGTGCCCCTCCCACCCCTCCAGGGAGGCCCCACCAGAGCGCAGACAAGAAGCAATGGAACCCCGTAACATCTTTATGTGGGGAACTCCGTTAGCATAATTTTTATCGTTGTCATCCCCCCTCATTTCCCCTCCTCTGCCTTCAACTGGTCCTCCTGTTCCTCCCGATCCTTCCGTTTCAACTCCTGCTCCTGCTGTTCATCCTCGTCCGTTTCCTCCAGCCCATCGTTCTGCGCACCCGCCACCTCCCCCTCGAGTGCATGCAGTTCCCCGTTTTCCGATTGCGCATGACACGAAATGGTCTTTCTGTGGGAGTCAAAGGTGAGCTATGACACGCGTCCGCAGAAAGACAAATTCTCGCCAATGGGAAGGGATGGAAGGGAGGGATAGGATGTCAGATGGGACGCGAGCGCAACTAGCTTGCCCCTCTCCCTCTTTGTCTCCCTCCCCTCCTCACTCCTCTCCCACTCTCCCTCTCCCCTCACCCCTCAACTTGCCCTCCCCCACCACGCCCCCCCACCCCACCCCACCCCTCCCTTTCCCTCCCCCTCCTCCCCCTTCCCCCCATTTACCCCCTCCCTCTCCCCCATCCCTCTCCGCCCTCTCTTTCCTTCCACCCCGCTCATCTCCCCCCCCCTTCCTTCTCGCGGGAGAGCCTGAACCGCGGCCGGTTCCGCCGCCCCGGCGCCGTGGTCCAGCGCGGCGGGAGCCCTGTACTCGATAGGCGGGCCGGGGACGCCGCAGCTGTGTTCCACCTCGGCAGGCGGGAGGGGGGAGCCCCCCTCCTCCTCCTCCTCCTCCTCCT